AAAAGCAATGATTGAGCAGCTCATATAACATAAGGAACATTTAATACTTGAGTATGGTTTAGAGTTAGAAAAGTAATTTAGAGCAAGAAATAATATTGGTTCCGCATTTTAAAGCTTCTGGAGATATTTTTGAATTACCAATGACAATCCTAAAATTGAAAAGTGAGAGAATATTTTTGTATCACTAAAACTGCAAATTGAAAAATTTTCCAATAGGCGTCGCACAGGCTACATTTAGTTGATATCGCAGAATTTAGGAACCATTCGTCAAAACTGTAGCACATATAATGACAGCAACCTACTTTCATGCCGTTAAAGCTGACATTAGCCATATTTTAGTAGGCGTATGAAATTTCATAATTCTTCTTACAATAAACAAAAAGACATCAAAGAACATAGCGGCATATAACTTGACAACATATTGTTACTTAGATAATAGTAACTCTCATCCAAAAGTGATAGAAATCGCATTATGCCTCCCAGGTGCTTAATATCATTAATACAGTAATTATGATAGACATTATACCACTTTATGTATGTATATCAAAAATATCAGTCAGTTTGTATGACATATCGATAATATATACATATATAAGTAAATAAAAATAAAATAAAATAAATCCGTCCTCTCTCTCATAATCGCCATATAGATTGGGAAAAAAGGACTCAGAAATTGTAATTAATTGTGTACATGATACTTAAAAAAAGTGTATTTTGCTGAGGATGGTCTACAGATCGTTGAAGACAAGTCTCATTCTGGACAACCTTCGGCTGATGCAATTATTAAACAGTGAAGAATATGGTGAATCAAAATCGTAAGGCAAGAGTTAGAGAGATGGTAAAAGAGCTCAGTATCGTTCCCGAGTCCGTTCGAATGATTGTGGTGGATATTTTGAGTATGAAACGTGTTTTGCTCAACTCATCTCTAAAAAGCTTAATTTTTTTCAAAAAGAGTACCGTAAAGAGGTATCTTTGAATATGTTTGATCGGACGAGTTAAAAGCATCGAGAGCATTGTAACTGCCGATGATCCATAGGCTTATGAGTTTGACATGCAAACAAGTCAACAATCAACGGAAAGGAAGGAAAAAACGAGCCGAAACCAAAATGTACGCTTAAAAATCAAGGTGAATCTGATGGCTTTTATCGATATTGGTGATTTGGTGCATCAATAATTTGTTCCGGAGGGATAGACGGACAATAAAGAATTCTATTTGACCGTATTGAGGCGTTAGCGTAAAAACATCCGTCAAAAACGGCCGGTATTGTGGAAGAACAATACATGATTTTTACACGATGATAATGCACCATCGCATCGAGCCTCGATTGTGACCGAATTGAAAGCTAAAAACGCAATAAATACCACCGGTCGAAAAACGTGATCACCAGATTTGGTTCCGTGTGATTTTTGTTTGTTCCCCAAATTAAATCATTATTTTGCTAACACTCGGAACTATTTTCATACTTTTAATTCTAACGATATTATAAAATATTCAACTGCGCCTTCCTGACTTCTTCTTCTTTTAAACAATTTCGAACTTTTAAACACACTATGTCTATAGTTGTGTGACACATTTTATATGCCTGTATGTATTTCTGATCCAGTTTATTTTTTTATTTGCAGCATATCTAATTAATTATACGTAAATACGTATTTTATACAGTTTTTCATTAAATGTAATCGTGTCGAATTTGTCATGTGCAAATTTATGTTCAAATAATAACGCGTTTTTTTCCCAGCGGCTCTTAGCTGACATGACAATGTGAAAACTACAGATTGCATATAATTAGTCTACAATATTTATGGTCAATCGAGTAATTATGCTGGCGCATAAATATACAAGTATTTACGTATATCCGGTAGCGAAATGTGAATGAGTGCAAACGCGTATGCGCAAAATATAGCTTAATAACAAATAAATCACCAGGCAAGTGAAATTAAAAACATGAGCATTTGTTATTTATATATTTTGCATATTCTTGAAATTTGCCATTTAAACAAGCGCCAATGAATTATTTTTAATGAGTAATGATTAAATTCACTTTTTTTCTGTTTAATTTTGCGCCAATGAATTGTGTCCATACGAAAGCGCTGATATGAGGAAGCGAGTAACTGAGTGAGTGAGAGAGGCAATGGCAGTGCCAGTTAATAAACAGGAGCTTTTTCGCAGCTGTTTTTTAATCGCAATTATATTTATCTCGTTGTTATTAATTTTTATAAAAACATACCGCTTTCATTGGCGCTTTTTTCACAAAAAATTTTTTTTTTTTTTAGATTAAAGTAAGAGTTTCGCTATCAGTACCTACAATTGTGCGAATGCAACAACGTGAGTTCATTATGTCAAAAGTGTTAATTAAATACTGACTTATTGCTGTGCTATGTTTAAAATGTACCGTTATGCATGTTTTTAACTTAAAAATCCTATAGAGCTAGTGAGAGTGCAATGATGTGACATTGGCGGATTTAATTCAGGTATTAAGTAAAATACCTTTTTATGTGGATACTTTTGCTAATTAAGCAGAAATTTGCATGCCTTTATCATATATATGTATAAATCAAAGAGTCAGAAAGAGAAAAACGATCCACGCGAAGCTAGTTCGGCTGTAAAAGATGACGTTGAGCAATACCACAAGTTCTGACGGGATCGTAAAACACATCTTCGAGCCGTTCGATACCAAAGGAGGTTTCAGACAAGGCGACTCCCTATCATACGACTTCTTTAATCTAGTCTTAGAGAAAATGGTTTGAGCTGCTTTTCTCAAAATCTCTGAAAGCCTCCTCCTCCTCCGTATTTTGGCTATAAGAATGCATAAGCGGTTCGAGCTGAGACACCTGCCAGGGTTATAATAATATCTGAATACTTTTATCATTGCAATAAGTTAAAATAGTGAGCTATATAATTTATTATTGTCATGTCTTTTGACGTGAATATTATGTTATTAACTGGGTATGACAGTTTCGAGCACAACGCTAATAACGCTCATTGACTCAGTGATTTATTATGAACACAGATAATTATGGTGAAATAACTTTCGCTTGCTTTGACATATTTATTATCGTCTTACATTCATGGCATACTTATTATGATTGTTGAATGTAGTTGTTATTACCTTATTAGCAATGGATAATAATTCATAATAGAGTAATCAGACCACGTTGCTTATTACTTTACACAATTAAAGTGGACAAACAGTGGGACGAGACTAAATTATAAAGGCATAAAATGCTTCAAGATGTAGAAAGTCTACTGCAGAGAGCTTTAGACTATTGGCTAAAGGCAGTAAAACTTGAAAGAGTGTATAAAATGGGAGTAAATAAGTATTTGAATATTTAGAATGTGTTCTTGATAGCTTTTTTTTTATTAAATTTTTGATAAATGTAAAAAAAAATATTGAAATGTTACTTCAAAAAAATATTTTGAGCGAGTTTCTTTGAAATGACATTAAAGAAGTAGTCACAACATTTTCTTAGTTCTAGAAACCGCAAAAAAATTGAATTTCGACAACCCAGGTGCAATCGAAAATTAAGCCTGTTTTGATTAAATCTAGTGAAGTATTGCTAAACGAGAACATTGTTCGTGCCTTTTGAAAACCTTGCGAATGGAAGATTGAGGTTATTGGTTTTCATGGCAATACAAAAATATACCATTAGGGACAGCCATATATTTTCCAACTTTTTCCCTTCAGTAAGGCTTGCCATTGTATCATAGAAAGATATATGATCCAACAATGAGTCGAAATTATAAAAATTTACTACCGAAATTTGAAGCCAGTGGCCTTAACTTTAGGAGCGCTACGTTGAATTTATGGTCATCATATTCGTCCTCTCAGATTAACAATTGAGCGTCTAGGGGAAAAAATTTGAATCCACAACCACAGTGAAAAATGTTCGCGCGCCAGTGAGACCAAAAAGTGCCGGTAGTGTCGAGAATATTGCATCCGCTGGCGCATCAATTGCGGAAGACCCAAATCAGTCTCTCACACGTCGCTCTCAGGCGTTGGGCATCTCTGTGATGTCGTTGTAGCGAATTTTGCAAAAAGATCTTGGCCTACATCCTTGCATGCACAAATTGACACAAAAGCTGAAACCGCTTGAATTCCAGAGTCATCGTATGTTCGTGAATTGGATAGAGCAACAACTTGATAATGATTCGGATTTTCATTGAAAAATCATCTTCAGCGACGAGGCTCATTTTTGGCTGAATGGCTTCGTCAGTAAGCAAAATATGCATTATTGGTCAAGCAGCAATCCATACATACTCCAAGGGTCACCATTGCATTCCAAAAAACATAGGGTTTGGTGCGCTTTGTTTCTTCGGTGATGATCAACACCGGCACGTCCTGCGGATGCGAACCGCTACCGCTCCATGATAACCGAATATTTTTGGTCCGAATTGGATATGAATTTGCCTCCAACTGCACAGCGCCATAAGCCTCAAAGCGAATGTCACAATCGATTTATTGAAAAATAAGTTTGGTGAACGTGTTATCTCCCAGTCAGTTGGCCGAATATTGGAAAAGTAAACGCTATATTATGCTGCTTGCTTCTTTATAATCGATTCATTTTATTTCGAAATTGTATACTGACAAATTCGTTCGAACAAATTTACCAACTCACAGAATTCTAACTGCAACTACGACCTACACTAATGTGCACCAGACGACTAAAAAATACTATGTCACCAAATAGTCACACCTCCGGTTTGTATAAATATACTAGAACTCAGCGTATATCTAGACTACAATCACTAACAACATATGTTTCGATTTTCGCCGACAAATCAACGCCTTCAGGCGGCGTACACCCATACACTTAATACAATGCTACAACTTATTGTTTGTCATACGGTTTTAATCAGTTGTAATACATCACTACCTATTGAACAGGATTGTCACCTAGCAATCCCCACTATTTATATACTTATAACGTACCATGTTAGTATATAATTTCTATAACTACTAGCTACTCATGCAATCAAGTTTGTCTGATATATCACTTACCTAAATGCTGATCAACACGTTTCTTCGGCTTCTGCACCGAGGCATATGGATCGCTGCAGTAATCCTGTCTGGATGGATTTTGGCTATTACGTAAATTATGATATTCATCACCGTGTTGGCTTGGCGTCGCCGTCAAATGTGGATAGGGGGCATAATCATCGACAGCGCCATAACCGCCGTGCGTCAGTGGATCATAACCATAGGTGGGCTGATGTTCAACATAGTTGTTGTGTGTGGCTGGTACGACCATACTTTGTTGACCGCCTGTGGCGGCGGGCATTTTCACTTGCCATAGCGAGTCTTGTGAATTGACGCTGCCGCCATTGTTCGAATTCGAGTAATTGTTCTCGATGTAGCCCATGTTGACCCCTGTAGAAGAGAAGAGCAAAGAAATTTATAAGAAAAGTGAAGAAGGTATTTTCGCGTAATCAATTTGAAAGGACGTAGTAGGGTAGCGGTATAATGTAGTTGTATATATAAGCGTAAATATATATAACACAAATACATATACATATATAGCTTTCAATAAACCCCGACTTGTGTTATCACATTGTAAATTTATGTATATAAATGCAATATTCGCAGGAAATTAATAAATTAATGCCTGCTCATTATATTTAACGGTCTAGTGGTGTTGTAATCAATATGTCGTAGTTATTGTTTTCATTGATGTTGTTGTTGTTGTCCCTGCTGTGACCTCCACTTTCTCGCTCGTTATATTGTGCTTGGTTCATTGGCTACATTTTGCCGCGCCACTTATTATCACGGCTGCGTCCCTGCCTCTGCAACTACTACCCTACTCTTCCTCGTCTTGGCTCACCGCTGCTGCTCTGTGCTCAACTGTCTTTTTATTTATGATCTCATTTTGTATCAATAAAAGGTTGACTTGGCCGCTGTTACAGCGAAAAATTTGTGCGCATCATAAATAATGTAGCACAATTTATTGGAATTGTTGTAGTTAATCTTCAAAAACAGGAAATATATGAAATGCATAAATCCGCTACGCTGAAGCTGTAATAATGGCGTGCATGACGGTCAATGGGTAAGCGGGTAAGCGACGAAAAGCGAAGAGTTGAAAACGCGCTAGGAAATGAGGTTATTTATTTATAAAATATTGTTTTCAGTTGTCAAGTAGGCGAAAGGGAAGAAAAATATTCTGAAAACTGATGTTTGCGGCAATATGTGGCATGAAAGGTCAAAATAAAGGACTTTGTCGCTTTAAAAGTTAGTCTTTATTTGTATTTTGTGCGTTAAAGCGTACAATTATTCTTTAAGATGGGGTAAATGAGGAGAAAGTATCCTCAATGACTTTTAAACATTTGAATGGAGTTCAATTATTGCCTTTCAAGCACTAGAACATATAAAAATTTAAATTTCCGAAGTTACTTAAACTGGTTGAGAGTTTCAAATGCAGACACGTATAGGCGAATGGAATCGATATCGCATAAAATGTAATTGATTGAAGCAAGTTCAAATAATTTATTATGTTGTGGAAAAATGAAGAGCAATGAGACGTACCTAAAATTTTACTTACTCACCTTAAGATTTTACTTTTATTTTGTAAAATGTAATTCGAAAAAAGCTTAAGGTAGCGAACATTGTGGTGGAGCTAAGAAACATAAAGATAACGAATTTTTCAACGGTGCTTTCTTAAGCACATCATTTGAAATCTGTTAGTTTTTACATTTCAAACTCATATACTATCCAGAATATAATAGTTAGAAGCATTTCATTTGAACACTTAACCTTATTTTACTAATACTATTTTATGAATTTTTGAAGTGTTTATTATTGTTTATTTCTTAAAAAAAAATAAGTGGCAACTATTTAAAAAGAAGTTTTTAGAGTGCTTTCAAATTTTTATTAATAAAAAGGAGTAACTTTTCAAAAAGTCACCTTTATTATGCATTTTTGAAGTGGAGTGTATTTCATAAATTGTTATATTAAAATAAACTCTTTATATTTTTTTTAAATTTTTTATGAATTTTTGGATTGGTGCCCATTTTTGAATTTTTTAATAAAATAAATTATTTTATTTATTAAAAGAGTCTTTAAAATAAAGTTTACGATTTTCGGAGTGCTCCCAAAATTTAAAAAAAAAAAATTTTTATCAAAAAAATGTGGCAACTCTTTTAAATGGAAATTTCATTTATTTTACGCGAAGACTGTTATGTTTACAAAGTTATTTAAATCGTGTTGTGAACTTCTTTGACTTATTTTTTAACCATTGCGAACTGGAAAGCTTTTTTAGAAAAGAAAATGACAATTGATAAAAATTAAAATTTGGCTTATTTCACATTAAAGCTGGTATTTTAATATGAAAAAATATTCAAATGCTATGCCAACCATTTTTTTATTATTTTTAAGCCTTCTCGAGCTTGGGAGCTTTTGTATAACAAAGAGTATAAATGACAACTTCTTAAGATGACGATTTAGACTATTTCAAATTAGTACAACCAAATTTATTAAAACAAAAAAAAAGTCTAAATCTTGTGGTAAACTTTTTTGACTTACATTTAAACCCTTTCGAGCTTAAAAGCTCATTGTTTTATAAAAAAAAAAGTGGGAACTTATATAAAATAAAATACTCAAATCTTGACAGTTTTAAATTGTTTTTTGACTTCGCTTTAAGCTCTCGAAAGCTTAAAGTTTTTTTTTTCAATGAAGTGGCTATTAGTAATAAAAAAAATTATTAAAAAAATACAAATTATGGAATACTATACATTTTTGACCTACTTTATAACTTTCGCGGCTTGAAAGCTTTTTGTTTTATAAAATAAGCATAAAATTGTAATAAGAAAAAAGAATACTTAAATCTTATGGAATCTTTTTGACTCTTGAGTTTAATTTTTTGTACCATTTTTTCGGCTGTCGCGAGCTTAAAAACTTTTTTTCAAATGAGGTGAAAATTTGTAAAAAAAAAACAAGCCTTATTAAAAGTAATAATCTCAAGGTAAATATTTTTGACTTATTTTATAAATGTAGTGAGCTCTTAAAGTTTTTTGTTTTATAAAATAAGTAAAAACCTTTTTTACGCTCTTTTCAGCCCTAGCGAGCTTAAGGCTTTGTTTATTAAAGAAGTGGCAATTTGTAAAAAGGAAATATTATATTAAAAATATAAAATTATAATGCTTGCCATAATGTTTGATCTTTTATAGCCGCTAAGGGCAACATATTTTCCAATCGTCTATTATTGCGAAATTACTGCGTATTATAAACTTCATCTGATAAAATTTTCGCACCATTTTTATTTTCGCAAGTTATGCAATAACATATTTACCATAGCAATCTAGTGAAAGTCCAATAAGCCAAGTAAACTTTATTGCTAAATTTTTCATAACATTTAAGGTCTGTGGGAGTGGTTCTAAGCACTAAAAACAGCAAAGAACCCTAGCAGTGAAATACTTCTCAACTCACACATACAAATGTCCGCTCTCGTGTGTGTGTGTGTGTGTGTGTGTGTGTGGGTATGTATGTTTAACTTTATATAGTGCAAATGTGCTTTAAACTTTAGTGATTATCAAACGGCAGCCACAAAAACCGTAAGAGACCACACGTGACCTCGTAAATATAACATGCACGTGTAATGCGATTTGATGGTATGAAATTGATTGCCACAGCTGCTGCAACGCGCACAAAGAAATCCAACAACAACTACACTAAACCACTAGCACTGCACTACACACTGGCAATTACCGCATTACATGACGCTTATTATGCATAGTACCATCATCATTTGCACATAATTTTATGATGTATAAACTGCCAGAACACTTAAAGGCGAATAGCTTTTACTTTCACGATAAATACACATAACGGTAGATGTGCTATCGTAAAAATAGATGCAAAAAGCGAATGGAACAAATAAAAGATTGCACGCAATTCAAGCACGTCGTGCATCACGCCAAACTATGCAAGGTGATAACACTCAGCAGAAGAAAGTTGGAACGCACAAAAAAAAGAAAAAAAACAACAAAAAAAAAAAAAATAATAAACTAACAATAATAATGATAATAAAAAAAATAAAATAATAATATAAATTTGCGACAAAAGTTCACATGAAATGGGTAATAATACTTAAAATACCTTTGTGCGCACTAAATATGTACTTGGCGGCGAGAGTTGCCAATTTTTGCAAAAAAAAATAAATAAAATAAAAATTACACGCAACAATTTCGCCTAACATTGCAATAAAAATGCCAAAAAGCGCGAAAAGGCGCTCGGGTTAGTGCGTGCGGCACGTGTATTGCGTCCTATCTAACAGCTCGGCTCTTGCGCGTTGACAGCCAGACATACTCAAACCCCTTTCGCTCACGGGCGCTCGCTCGCCATTGTTCATTTCTTTATTTCGAGTTGTCAACTAAAATGTCAAGCGTCGTCGGTGGCACAGCACAAAAACCAAGCGGCAAACCCATTTTCGATGCTCAATTTTATTTTCATTTTTGTATACCGAGCTACAAGAGCGCTTTGTTCGTTTCGTTTTATTTTTTTTGCTTGCTGATCCTTCGTGTTATGCGTTTTGCACGCAAGCAATAATAGAGATTGTATGTGTATGAACTTGGCTATAACGGTGTTTGCAGCAGAATTTTGAAGCGTGCGTTTAATATTTATGAGTGATTTATCACGAAATGTAAAGTAATAAACACAAAATGTGAAAGGCGGGGTGGCGAACTGCTAAGGCAGACGCAGTGAGTGAAGGACATTATTTCGACATATTTTCGGTTTGTTTGTGCGTTTTGGTTACAAAGGGTTTATGAGTTTCGTAATTTTGCTATGTGTATAGTGTTGCCACATTATAGGAGATACGAAGAGTTATAAGAATAAAAAGTAATTATTTTTTTTTAATGAGATTGTGAATATTGTGCAGGATTATGTCATATTGAATTGGGTTTCAGGAAGGTTAACAATGTTTCCAAGAAAAAAACGTAAAAAATAACTATATACGGTCTGTCCTCTGTATGTTTACTTAGCTCCCGCTCGAATAGTAGACAATTTTCATATTTGTGTTTACTCTTTGAAGATATTTTTAATAAGCCGGCCTAAACCATTCAAGCTATAATATCAAAATTCGCTCAGAACAAAAGTACAATAAATTTAAAATAAAATTTGACACCCGAGATGGTACGGAAAAGTCTTATAGGAACCGGTATCACATTTCAATGAATGTCATGGCCCGTCATATCTTGGCACATCCTCTTTCGATTTTAACCAAATTCGGTAAGTTATATTATACTTACATTCCTACAGTTAAGGGGAGAGCCTGCTTTAGAGGCTTAAAAAATCGATTTTTTGAAGCTTGAAAAAAGGTGTGAAAATAGTCGAAAAGAGGCAAAAGCGATGTCTACTTTTCATATAAGACAATTTTCAAT